GAAACCCTAATTGGTTGTACCCCCTATGGGATACCCCACTATAGCCTACACAACAGCATAAGCTATAATGTTCTGACATACCCCACTATAGCCTACACAATATGCATGAGCTATAATGTTCTGACAGAAATTTGTGTTCGCATATGTTTTCGTGAGCTGGTTCTCCTGAGAATTTGCTTTCGCGAAACCAGGCTGGTTTCCACATCGCCGATAGGGAACATGCACGAGGGGTGGTGCGCTCAGGTGGGGCGGGAAAGTGGGCTCGCGTGCAGCGGGTCCCGACAGGGCCCAGCTGGCGGGGTTTCAGTTCCGCCGACCCGTCGCTGGGGGAGCGGCGGATCTGTCGCTCCCACGGGCAAAACGGGAGCGACGGAATGAGTTTCGATGAGACACACGTAATGAGTTTCGATGAGACACACAGAGTGGGATGATTCGGATTTTGCAGGTAGGAAAAACAGATAGGAGGAAACTCGGGAGTGGATAACCAGAGTTGGGGGTTTGACTCGGGTGCGAGAGCAGGCAGAGGTAAGGGAACACGAGAGCGGACAAGAGGGCGGCGTTATGTTACATCATGCATGCTACGGGCTGAGTTCGCCTCGGAATCCCATCCATCCATTCAACTCACCGTTTTCTCTCGCGTTTCCGCATTCCAGGCCTTAGCCCATCCCCGGCCGTGAGGCAGAGCTGTTCCACCAACCAACCCATCATCTCGTGTGCGATGAGCAGCCGCAGCGTGCCAGGCTGCACCACACGTAGGCAACGCATGCATTGGGTCTATCGCGAACGCGTTTTGGGGGCAATCGATACTCTAGCCCGTCTTCAGCTCGCTTCACCCTGTCTTGAACTTGCATGTTGGATCTCGCACTGAAAACTGAACGGAACATAGACCTAAAAGTGGCTTCATCGCGTTAGACAACCGAGGCGCGCTTCCGCGCGAAAGGCTACTGTTTCTCGTATTTGGTCGCTCTCGATGCACTGACACGTGGCGACATAGAAGGCAAGTGGACGGTAAGGCCCGTGCTTTCTGGTGCGGATCTAGCTGTTGGCGAGCAGATAGTAGCGTTCAGAGTTAGTTATTAGTGGCAGCGTGTAGCGGGGAAGATTGTGTGGAGGAAATTGGTGACCAAAGTATTGCAATCTGAAACGCCCGTCGAGTTCAATCCGTGCTGCTTAGCTGTTACCATCCAGCGTTCGCAAAGCACCGAATCTGCTCGCGAATTGAGCAGTGACGGGAAGTTGGTTGAGTTGAGACCTAATGTGGAAGTCCATGGCCCTGTTCGATAGCGAGGGTGACCCATGCCAGAAATCATTGAGGTGACCTAGTTCCTTGGGCGGGAAACGGTTTGCGACCCCATGCGATGGTACATAATTCCCGCCAGCGCGAACGACCCCCCTGCGATGTCCTTGGTTTCTCGCCCAGCTGCTAAAACATGGCGGGAATTTTAACGGGGTGGTTTGACACCACAGCGCGTAGTAACAGTGACTGTCGCCTAATCATTACAGCCCATCCCTGGTAAAATTTCAGACCATTGCCAATGTTACTTTTCAAATGAGTGGCCCCAATGCCAGACCAATGGGCTATTTAGGGATAGTCGCGCCAAACAAAAAATATAAACCAGTCGCACCACAAATCCTTTCGACACACCTAACAAATGCTGGAACCGATATGGAATACGCTGTACATTTTCAGCACAAACATTTGGGTGGGGCTTTTGTTTTTACGCAGACCGTCGAACCCCCGGGCAGACCCCGCGGCTGGAAACAGTCCGCTTCAAAGGGCCGTTGAGGTGGAGCTTTTCGACCACCTCGGCCGTCTTCGGGTCGGCCAAAATGATTACACTGCCAGCGTTGTCCTACCACTTGCATTTTGTCGCGACGCTGAACCATTTGGGCGACAGAGCCAACCAAATGGTTGCATCGTGGGGGCCCAAAGTGCTGTCGAACAGGGCCCATGTGTTCTCATTTCACCCCACGCATGTGCCTTGAGGAGGTACGACCAGGCCTCAAGATTGCAGGGCATTTTACCCTGATTAGCCTGTTTTTCAGGGTCGTTTTTATAAACCACATTTTAAATACAGGTTTCAAGGGTTCTACCACCCTGTCACCCTTGAAATTTTGACCCTTGTTTTGCAGTTGTTGGTTCTTGTAGCACACTGCCTTGGTCGAGTTCGGTAGTGGCAGCACTCTGAGTTTTTTTTTCCCTCAGCCATTTGAGAACTGGCTAAGTCCTTGCCGGGAGACACTCACACATACACCAGAACAAGCAACGGATGTGCTCGAAAACTGGCTAAGTCCTTTCCACGGAGACATTCACACAGATTGGACCGCTGCAGCCTAGTTTAAATTTTCACCCTGCCATACCAGACCAGAAAATTTTCAACACCCTGCCATTTCTAGGGTACGACGCGGCAGCAACACTGCAGTGGCAGTGTGACTTCGAACTGAAACTTTGATTTGACAGGGTGGCCCAAAACGAATCAAGACCCCTGGGTACGACGCCAGTGCCATTTCTCCTTCCTCACCAGTTGAGGATTTGCGAACGCATTTGCATTTCGGAAGCGCAATTTCGCTCACGTGTCGACATTTGTACGTAGCTGGTTTTTGCACTTCGTACACACATCGTTGAATGAGATGAATTCTGGTACCCTGCGTGACGCTTTGAAACGCAGCACGCTGCACGAGTCACAACGTGAACTTTTCAACATCGTTGTGACCGAAGGCATACTACTGCCACAGCCATCTAATTAGCAGTGCTAGTCACTAGACTTCTGCCTATTAGTACTATATTAGCATCGTTTCTTGGCGTTACTACGTATCGGTGGCGCATATTCAGATTTCGACATCAGAAAAATGTGATCCCGCCGGATGCCGCGTGGTGGGGTATCGGCTTGGATTTCTAGGTTGGAGTTCATGTCGTGAACGACAGTTAATCGGCCGGTTGGGGCAGCGTGGTGGCGAATTATAGTCGATCGTCGGGGTGGTGTGGTTTACGGAAGTGATCTGTAGTTGAATAGGCCATGTTTGACGAAGCCACGTGTTGGGTCTCTCACCACGATCGGTGCTCAACTTCGGAAGTTGAGCACAATTTGCAGACGTGGCAGTAAGTGGGTGGTTCTTGCCATTCACAATCAGAAATCGATCACAAACAGGGTGGGTGTGTTATTCCGAAGCTGTGCGTCGCGATAGATTTGGGAGTTGTCTGACAGTTGTAGGAAAAATAGTTATTGTACTTAACAGATGAATTAGGTTCATTGTTATGTTATTGTATCGTGAATTCAAATTCTGGGTGTTATGTTGTTTTTGTAATCGGTCATTCCAATTTTTTCCTGTGGTATCTTTTTTAATTATTCTGTTACATCGTATTACTGGGTAGTATATTGTATTTATCTTCGTTTAATTGTTGGGTAGTATATTGTATTTTGTTTTACTGGTTGGTATTATTCCACTCACATGTTTAATTGGTTACTGCGGTTTTAATATTGGCAGTGTCGATGCTTATAAACTGCCAGCTCGTGCTTTAGGGAGTTCCTCAAATCGTGGCATTCGAGCAAGAGTTGAGGGTGCAGCTGTCAGGATGATCAGAAAACCTGTTAATGCGCTATATTATGCACAGCATCGCATTATACCAGAATGAAGTACATACATCAAACAGGATTTCGAGCTGGAGCAGAGACTCGAATCTCCCTAGCAAAATTCTCTCGACATTCGTGAGCACAATAGAGACCAAGGAGTCAGTAAACCCTGTTACTGTCTTATTTAGTCTGGGTGATCACCTCCGCCGCTATAAATTCCCCCGCGTGTATCTCAGCAGACTTGGCCATCCGCCGTACAGGCAACGAACTAACTACTCGCCACGGGTCAGGAGCGGTTTCGTGTGGAACCTTGTTGCGTTTCTATGCGGGATGTTAGACCAACTGTTGAGAATCACAGGTGTGTCTCCAGACTATCCCTTCGCAACGCTCCAATACTCCCGTGCCCCTTCACTCCAAACACGACGCGATCGTCGCAATTCTCCCTTCCCGAGGCTCATTCCGTGCGCGCCGCGTTCTTTTCCTCTCGTCCGTTCCTCCCTTACCCGCCACGTCGCATTCAGTGTCCCGTCCGCTTCCGGTGCGCGCTGCCGTCTCTTCCTTCTAGACGATTCATCCCGTGACGGACTCGTCCTATTCACCCTCCCGTGCGCGCTTCGTCCCGCCCACCCCGTCCTTTTCTCCCATGCCCGCCGCTTTGCATTCTTTCTCCCGTCCGCTTCTCCCGTGATCGTTGTCGTCCCTCCCTCTGTTCCATTCCTCGTGTGCCCCATTCCCCCTACCGTCCATTCCTCCCGTTCGCTTTTCGTCGATTCACTGCCATCTGTTTCCCCCATATCCGCGGATTTCGCATTGTCCCTCCCGGGCTTCGTGATTGGCGCGCCTCGCCCCATTTAGCTCCCTACTCTATTGCGCGCCTGTTTCCGTTCCCTATCTCGGCCGATCCTTATTTTCGCGCCTCGTTCGTTCCCTATCTCGTTCGTTCCTCCCTTGCGCGCCTTGTTCGTTCCCTCGTATTCCCTATCACGGACGGTGTCATTTGTCCTGGTCGTCCCATTCTGCCTATTGTCTCTTCGACGCATCCGTGCCTCGTGCATTCCGTGATCTCGTCCGTTGCTTGCATCCGCGCCTCGCTCGTCTCCCCCTCTCGTCCGTTCCTTGTTCGCGCCTCGTTCCCATTCCAGCTCTCGTCCGATACTCCATACTGCGCCTCGTTCTTTGCTCTCACTAGTCAGATCCTCCCTTCCGCAAGCGTACACTCTCCTTGTCTGCGCCTCTCCTCCATTGAGCGTACCCTCTCATGCCCCGCTGCTCCTCTCTTCCATTGTGCGTGCACTCTCTTTCCCCTCCGCGCCATTCGCATTTTGTCCCCATCATCTCCTCCTGTGCGTATACTATCACATACACCGCTGCTCCTCTCCTCCCTTGCGCCTTCTCTCTCCCTACCCCCCGCTCCTCTTTTTCCGTGAGCCCTCCCTCTCATTCCCCTCTCATTCTCTCATTCCGTGCGCCATCCCTCTCATTCCCCTCTCATTCCCCTCTCAAACTCTCATTCCGTGCGCCTTCACTCTCATTCCCCTCTCATTCTCTCATTCCGTGCCCCTTCACTCTCATTCCCCTCTCATTCTCTCATTCCGTGCGCCTTCACTCTCATTCCCCTCTCATTCTCTAATTCAGTGCGCCTTCACTCTCATTCCCCTCTCATTCTCTCATTCCGTGCGCCTTCACTCTCATTCCCCTCTCATTCTCTCATTCCGTGTGCCTTCCCTCTCATTCCCCTCTCATTCTCTCATTCCGTGCGCCTTCACTCTCCTTCCCCTCTCATTCTCTCTTTCCGTGTGCCTTCGCTCTCATTCCCCTCAGTCTCTCATTCCGTGCGCCATCCCTCTCAGTCTCTCTTTCCGTGCGCCTTCACTCTCATTCCCCTCTCATTCTCTCATTCCGTGCGCCATCCCTCTCATTCCCCTCTCATTCTCTCATTCCGTGCGTCATCCCTCTCATTCCCCTCTCATTCTCTCATTCCGTGCGCCTTCACTCTCCTTCCCCTCTCATTCTCTCTTAGGGTGTGCCTTCCCTCTCATTCCCCTCTCACTCTCTCATTCCGTGCGCCTTCACTCTCCTTCCCCTCCCATTCTCTCATTCCTTGCGCCTTCACTCGCATTCCCCTCTACTCTTCTCACGTGCGCGTTCTCTCGTCCCCCTCTGGTTCACTCCTCACGTGCGCGATCTCTCTCGTAACCCTCTATTCTGCGCCGCATTCCTTGCTCTCACTTGTCCCACCCTCCATTCCGCGCCTCGCCCCCATTCCTCGTGACATGTCCTGAGTTTCCTCTCATGCGAGTTTGTCCCATTCCCCTCTGCTCCGCTCCTCCCGTGCGCATGCTCTCTCTTTCCCCTCTGCGCCTATCCGCCCATGCGCAATTTGTCTTTTTCCCCTCTGCTCCTCTCCCCCCTTTGCGCCTTCTCGCTCGCTCCCCTCTGAATCTCTTCTCCAGTGCGCCCTTTCTCTCTTCCCTCTGTTTCTCTTCTAGTGTGCACTCTTTCTCTTGTTCCCGTTTGTTTCTCTTATAATGTGCGCCTACACACGCATCCCCACCTGTTGATCTTCTCTAGTTCTCCGTCTCCATCACTCCTCTCTGTTTCTCTCCTCCAGTGCACCTTCTCTCTCCCGTACGCTCGTCCTCGCTATGCTCCGTTGCCTCCTACCCCTTTCATCCTATGCTTGTATTCTCTAGTTCCCCGTTCATCCTGTGATTGTCTTCGCTGGTTTTCCCCTTCCCCATCATCTCATATGCTTGTCTTCTCAGGTTTCGGCCTTCCACTGGCCTCATATGCTTGTATTCTCTGGTTTCCCCTTTCCCCTCCCCACCTATGCATGTATTCTCTGGTTTCCCCCTTCCCCTCCCCACCTATGCATGTATTCTCTGGTTTCCCCTTTCCCCTCCCCACCTATGCATGTATTCTCTGGTTTCCCCTTTCCCCTCCCCACCTATGCATGTATTCTCTGGTTTCCCCCTTCCCCTCCCCTCATATGCATGTATTCTCTGGTTTCCCCTTTCCCCTCCCCTCATATGCATGTATTCTCTGGTTTCCCCTTTCCCCTCCCCTCAAATGCATGTATTCTCTGGTTTCCCCCTTCCCCTCCCCTCATATGCATGTATTCTCTGGTTTCCCCCTGCCCCCGCCTTTCAAGTCGCTTGTCTTCTCTAATTTCCCCTTCCCCTGCCCTCCTAAGCTTGTCTCCTCTTGTTTCTCCCTTCTCCTGTCCTCGTATGCCTTTCTTTCCTGGCCTCCCCCTTCCCCCGCCCTTCAAGTCTTGTCTTCTCCCGTTTCCCCCTTCTCCCCTACTCCCAAAATTCTGGCAGATGTCATTTCTCTGCCCAAGATGTCGTCTCTGTGCATTCGACACTCGATCGGGTTTGGGACGCCACATGCAGAGCAACTCCTGCCCTGCAAACCTCATTAGCAGTAGCGAGCAGCTGCAGGCCCCCAAGCGCGCAAGGTCGAGCTTCATCCCTCCTAACCCCATTCCGCGTGCAGTACTTAGGTTGGAGCCTGTGCATGCAAATGTAGGAACGGGTGTTGCGGAAGATGTGTGTATTGATGTACCTCCTATTTCTCGTGCTGATCCAACAGACACTAGTGATACTTCCTCATCCTCTGATTCAGTAGATAGCGCGCTGCCCTTTGAACAAGATGACGATGCGTCTAGTAACGCTGCTGTATCTGGTGCTGATGATGATGGTGGGGAGGGAGCTCAAGCAGGTGTTGCACTGGCGGAAGAGGAAGATGCCCCTCAGTTTAACCTCAAGGATGCTCTTGCGCACTGGATCCTCTCCAACCGACTCTCTATCAGTCAGATTAACGCTCTGTTGGAAATCCTGCGCAAGACCATTCTTGAAATACAAGATTGGAAGTCCTACCGAGACGTGCAGGCGTACGCTGAGTCTAGGGCGACGGATGGCCACCGAGGTTGGCGACGAAAGACCATCCGGTCACGTAACAAGGCTTGGCTGGAGTATTGGTATTGTGATCCGTTGATTGCTCTGCAGGACCTGTTGAAGAACCCCAAGCTGGCTGCCAAGATGGTGTTCCATGCAGATCCTCAATATGTGGGGAACGTGAGGGTGTACAGTACCCCCGAGACAGGCCTATGGTGGGAGAGGTTGCAAACTTTGGTGCGGGAGGAGGATCCGGATGGAGTTGTGGCTGCTTTGATCCTTGCGAGTGACGAGACGCATATGGATCATAGAGGGAAGGCGAAGGGTCATCCTGTGTATCTCACGTTGGGTAACATTGATAAGGACGACAGGTGGCAACCCTTTGGGCACGTGCTACTAGCACTGCTCCCTGAGTTTCCTGCAGAGTACAACGTAGTGGACAAGATGCAAGTCCACAATTACATCATGCGAGATGTGCTGCAATCTCTTAAGACGGCATCCTACACCGGCATAGCTATGAAGAATGCTGCAGGCGAGTCAATCAACGTGTGGCCCTATTTGTACGCTTATGTGTCGGACTACCCAGAGTCGTGCAAGATCACGTGCATGAAATCATTGGGTACTTTGTTTCCGTGTTCGATTTGCAAGGTGGACAAGAAGCACTTGGCAGTGCTGCAGGATCGTATCCAAGCTCGTACACCATTCGAGCAGGATACCATTGTGCGAGACATCTTAGAAGGCCGGCTCGCACTAGATGCGGAGGCAACCTTCTCCACCCACCCTGTGCAGGTATAGTATGCTGTGGGTGCTGTTTTAGGGTCATTCTATGGGCTATACCATGTGCAGAACTAACCTCTAGGTGCTGGTTCTGTTTTTTGCAGAGTTTCCTAGGTGGCTGGAGGTGGGAGTCCGACACCATTCTCAACTCGTACCTTGCGGTGCTGCCCGATGTGATGCACCAAGCAGATTTGGGCATTTTCGAGCACATTGTCGACTTTATTCGCGCGCATGTGAAGTTACTGGCAGATAGAAATAAGCTGGACAGAATCCTTAGGTACTACAAGAGAAGTATTAGAGGGGGGAACATGTGTTTACCCGCGGGTCAGTACTTCGAAAAGGGGGCGAACTATCAGGCATACGAACACCGGTCGGTCATGCAGATTCTGCCCTTCATCGTGAAGGGTTTTATTACGCAGCCGCAGATGGACGCACTCGTCTCATACATCGAGTGGTACCTCGAGTGCGCGCGGGCATCGGAACACACCGACACCTCCCTCCTTGAGTTCAAGACAAAGGCACACCGGTGAGTAGTATAGTTCACAGTGTGTTGCGTTCATTCTCCGACTGCTTGCTAAATATTGATCGACATGTTTTGGCCTATACGCAGGATGTTACACAACCTCAAGACCGCATTCCCGCACACGTCGGATTGGAACTTCATTAAGATGCACCTCATCAGTCACTACATAGACTCCATTCGTAGGTCGGGCTTGCCCGAGCATTATTCTGCACAACTATACGAGCATCTGCACATAGAGTACATAAAAAACCCTTACCGGGCATCGAATAAACGGTCAGTCAATAGCCAAATCGTCGGCAGCGAAGAGGCACGGCTTCGTCTTCAGTATATCGCGCCACAACTCATGGCGAAGAAGAAGTATGACACCGCCATGGTGAAGGTAAGAACTAGACTTATGTGTATGGTTCTTGATTATTTCCATCGAGCATGGAATACACGTAACGAGATGATGGTGGTGTTCCATGCCTGCAGGCCCAACGGACAGGCGAGCGGGTTCTATCCAAGAGGAGTTGGGCATTGCACGTGCCAGAAACACGTGTTGGAGCCCCATACCCTCAGGTACCGGACGCGAAGCGTGATGGCCCGTTGCAGGCCATCATCGGCGAGGAGTTGAAACACTTGCGTGCGGCATTGGATAGGGCACCTGGCTGTGACGGCAATGGGGAAGCTATCAAGGAAGTACATGTATGTACGACGTCCAGTCCTGCCCCGTCGTAGCTTTTGTAACCGTACCCAAACAATCTGACTCTTCTTGTTGACGGTGCCTTTGCAGGTCCACTGGGAACTCGCCATGCCAGCTGCGGTTGATGCGCAGTATAGTCGCCTGCCGCACCGCATCCGCGCCCTGCCCATGCACCACGGTCGTCAATGGTTTTCTGATGTGGCGGTCAAAGGTGAGGGCTCAGACGGGGACGAGGAGTGGTTTGCGAAAACCCTTCTGTTGTTTCATGCCAAGGTTGCGGGCACGGTTAAAAACTATGCATTCGTCAAGTACTACAGGGAACAGGCCAGCGTTGATGCAGCCACCAAGTGCAAGGTTTTGCACTGGGAGGGAGTTAATCAGAGGTACCGAGTAATCAGTATTGATAGCATCAAGCGCGCGGTACAGTTAGTGCGACCAGACAAAGACGCTGAAAAGTGGTTCGTTAATAGGTTTGCATGGTGAAAACTTCATACTGGGTAGTATATTTAAGTGGCCTGGCAGGCAAACAAAGCCATCTAGGTTGCCTTAGCCTTTTAAGAGTCAAATACTTCAATCTGTATTTTATATTACGTTCCCAATTCGTTTGCAGTCAGTACCAGACAGCATACTTTGTCCCGCTTCCTCGTTATTAAGTCACCATCGATGCAATGGCAGCTGCCACACGCGACACCGTCAAACAAGGATAACTGCCTCGCGTTGCGCACTGTGGGGTGCACCTGAATGTGGATGGCGGTGTCGCACTAGTCGGTCGAAATCTTCCAGTTGCCAACACAGATGGTGGCAGCTTCCGATTGGTTCATTCTGCGGCAATAACAGTCGTGTTGGCAGCACGATAGTCGAAAACGAGACACATTCAGGCATTTTCTCCAGCTACGTGCCACACTGCGCGCCGCACACGCGTGACATCAGCTCCGTTGGAGTCGAGGTCTGCGCGGTGGCGACGTTTGTCTCACCTGCACCTTTCGAAGTGGTGCTTGTACGAGATGGAAAATTTTAGTTGTAAACTAACCGCTTGACCGCGACCGTGGTTGTTCCATTTGCTTTCGAGTAAATATCAAACAAGTTCGTGTTTGACGCGCAACTGTGATTTCAACACTTTTTTTCGTTCACGCCGCGCTAGATCACCACAGTTTGAAATATCATAGTTTCATAGCATAGTTTATGGGTGTGTTTTTTAGTTTAGGCACGTTAATCCACATATATGCATGCTACCTTGCTTCCTCGTTCGCCGAATCAAAGTTCACAGTAACATTTTCCGGGAAAAGGCATGGGAAACAATGGAGATATGGGGTTGAGAAGTCGCAAACATTCACTGTGTCGCTAAAAATTTCAGATAATAAGCCGTGCGAAAAAAAAGCTCATGGCTGGTTGCGTCGTGGCATTTTCCCCATTTGGTAAGTTTAACTGGTCGTCAACCATCACTATCCTCAAACCTATGGCTCAGAACGGGGGACAGTTAGTGCGGGCAGGCACCGGGAAAAGAGTTTTGCCAGATCCAGCAGGGGTCACCTTGCCCCACCCTCATTCTGCTCTCAATCTGCTCGATGCCTCTGCACTGTCACAGCTGGGAGATGACGTTCTTACAGAAGAGATTAAGAGGCGGCAGTTAGCTAAAGAGGCTGCCTTAAAAACAGCTGCAGTCAACACTCTCCACGGCGCTCCCACGGTTGGTAAGACGGCAGCTGCAGGCCGTCGGGGCGGGTCTAAGAGGAAACGTGCTGCCGCCGGCTCTGGTGCGCGTGGTCGATCCTCTGGTGCGAATGGCAACATTCCTGCAGGCTCGCCATCCGCTGACAACCCTACCGCCGGCACTTCGTCAGAAGCAGAAGGCGCGAACCCTGCACCGGTGGCAGAAGCAATGGACACCACGCAAAACGGCGCACCAACCACAGGCGGCATAGTCTGCGGTATCGCGTCAGACGCAGATACTAGAGCTCTCCCTGCACCCCCCGTGCCTGCCGCCGGAGCCCCGGGCCCGATGATGGCAGCAGCGATTGAGGCCGCAGAGGAGGGCGGCGTGGATCCCTTCATCGCATACGGCATCGAAGCTGGTAGCGACGACGAAGACGGGAACGACGACGATGCAGATGATGCTGACGGCGTCCAAGCGGGAAACGACGATGAGTTGCGCGCAGCGGAGGTTCGCGCTGCGGAAGTGTGCGCGGCGGAGGTTCGGGCGGCGGAGGTTCGGGCGGCGGAGGTTCGGGCGGCGGAGCTTCGGGCGGCGGAGCTTCGGGCGGCGGAGATTCGGGCGGCGGAGATTCGAGCGGCGGAGATTCGGGCTGCGGAGGTTCGCGCGGCGGAGGACCGCGCTGCGGGGGTTCGCGCGGCAGATGTGCGCTCTGCGGAGGCTCGCCAGACGGAGCTGGCGCCGCACACCTCGCAGCCTAATAACCCGGCAGCACCCGCTAGGCGTGAACGGTCGCAAGGTAAGCAAACGCAACACGCTCATAGCTACGGTGCCAGTTCTTGAATTGTTGCTCAACTCCATCCTACGTTTCCCCCCCCCGGCCCCCCACTCGCCCCCTCCTCTCGCCAATGTGTTATGCATTTTATTTCTATGAGCTGAGCTCCGTTGTTCATAACGTCGGCTGGATGACTGTCTAATTGTTCTTTCCACTTGCTTGTTGTCTGCCTTTCTCGATACATGTTATTCCCGGGGCTTGTCCCGTAGTTGCTGGTGCGCACCATTTCAGGGAAGCACGACAGCTGGAGGCGCAATTGCGTGACCTGCAGAACACGGTCTCCACTTTGAACGCGCAGCTGCAGGAGGCAAGGGCCAGGATCAAGGCGGTGGAGGCTGAACGCGATAGTCTGAAAACGCAGTTGGAGTCGATGCAGCGACAGCTTTCAGCGGAATTCGCTGGAACGAGCTCGGACGTGGGCGCCCTTCGGGACCCTTCTGACCCCCTGGTCCGAATGGAGAACGTCCGTAAGGACGTTGCGGGCAACCCGACCATTCCGTCATCAGTCAGCAGCGACGATGCATTTGATGTAAGTTAGTTAACCGAGGTGCCATTCTGATAGTATGTATTTTCGGATGTGCTGTCCTTTTATGTCTTGCAAGTTCTGTCTTTAAACCCGCCCCCAACGTTTCCTCTCGCTACCGCTCTCGGCCCGTCCACCACTTCCTTCTGTCCGTCTTTTGTGAGTCCCGTCCACAAACTTGTGTGTAGCATGTCCGGTGCCTGAAATTTAACCCCCTCCTCACCCTTGTGCGTCCTTGTGTTGATTGTCAGGAAATGGTGGGTAAGACCTTCGCCTGGCTCATCACCCTTGCCCCTGCAGGAGAGATCGAGTTCTATCCTCTGTGGGAAGAATTCCAGCCGCATTTGGTGCGCAAGTACATAGCTGAGGGGACCACGCAAGATGAGTACTACCTCTTGTGAATTAAGAAAACAGGAATGAATGACTAAGGGAAAGTTGGGTACAAATACAAACCCTAGAAAAACTGTACCCCATATGTGCTACCCCACTATAGCCTACAGTAGCTCTCTCATATAAATCTGACACACCCCCATAGGCAAAGTGGGGGAGAACAAGGGGTCACAAGACCAGTCAAGCAAAGCAAAGCAAGCTCAGGGTGGATCACAAAGTCACCACACATTCTGAGCACAAGTTCAAGGCCACAAGGCCAGTTCACATGCAGGATTACATATATATATAAGGCTAGACAAGCAAGAGCACGTGTATATATATATGCAACAGTACAAACAAGGTCAAGGGGTGAGCAAGTGAGGCAAGGTAGGCACAAGGCCCAGCTGAGTACAGAAACGCTGATGATCACAAGGCGCAAGTGCCTTGGTGAAGATATCAGCAGTGTTGGCCTGAGAGGCCACGTACGCAAGTCGCAGCTGACCACGCTGCTGTAGCTCACGAGCAAGGAAGTAGCGGAGAGCAATGTGCTTCGTTCTGTGCTCCAGTCTCTGCTCTCGACACAAGGCCAGCATGGCCTTGTTGTCTACGTACAGCACTGGAGGAGAACGAGGCGGCTCTCCGAGGTCAGTCAGCAGGTAGGTGAGCCAGCGAAGCTCCTGTGCAGCCATGGCCCCAGCGTAGATCTCAGCCTCACAACTGGAGCCGAGAACAGAAGACGAGCGGGTAGCCCGCCACGAAACAGAACCGGAACCAAGGCTGAAGGTGTAACCCTGTGACGACCGCTGCGTAGCCTGGTCGTCAGCCCAAGAAGCGTCTGCGTGCCCAGTGAGGACCACTGGACTCTGCCCTCCAAGCACAAGCCCCATGCCCGACGTACTGCACAAGTAGCGCAACACCCTCTTCGCTGCAGCCATGTGCTCGGGTCTGTGTCTCCCAGGAGCAACATAGCGTGCAAGAATGCTAAGAGGGTATGCAAGGTCAGGTCGTGTGCAGGTCATCAGGTACATGAGGCAGCCAACAAGCTCTGGGTACGGGCCACTCGACTCTACGGACTCATCCGAAGGCAGAGCTGAGAGCGAGTGGCGAGTAGGCAGAGGAGTGGCCTGAGGCGAGGAGTACGTGAAGCCGAAGCGCTGAAGGACCTGCTGCACCATGTGTGACTGAGTCAGGGTAATGGTGCGGCGTGCTCTGTCCCGGGTGATCTGCAAGCCAAGGTAGCTGCGCAGTTCACCCAGGTCTGTGCACGTGTGTCTCTTCTGCAGCTCGGACTTCACGTGGGCGAGTCCAGCAGTGTCAGCTGTGGCAAAGACCAAGTCGTCGACGTACACGAGGATGTAGAACGGCGGCAAAGAAGTGTCGGCGCGCAGAAACAGCGACGGGTCGGCAGTAGAGGGAGCAAACCCAAGAGCCGCAAGTGTAGTCCTCAGTGTGTCGTGCCACTCACGCGGTGCCTGGCGGAGACCGTAGACTGGCCGCCGGAGGCTCCACTGGGTGCCAGGAGGAAAAGACCCAGTGAAGCCAGGTGGGCGACGCAGCCAGATCTCCTCGTGCAGGCTACCCTGCAAGAAAGCAGTGCTGAAGTCAAGAGAGCGTAGCTCGTAGTCGCGGTGAGCAGCTACGTGCAGCAGTACCCGAAGAGTGGTCATCTTCGGGGTGGGAGAGAAGGTCTGAAAGTAGTCAACTCCCTGCCGCTGACTAAAGCCACGAGCCACGTAACGCGCCTTGAAGACAGGCGGAGAACCCGGCGGCCGCTTCACCCTGAAAATCCACATGCCACTGACGATGTTCGCCCCAGGCGGGGGAACCTCGTCGACGTAGGTGCCTGTGGACTTCCAGGAAGCCATCTCTGCGTCCATAGCTGCCTGCCACTTAGAGGAGTAGGGACCCTCTATCGCCTCCGCGTAAGAGCGCGGAGTCGGGATGTCAAGTGCATCTGGGTCTCCCTCAGGGGTAAGCAGTACAGACACGAGATGAGGTGAAGCAGCAGCCAAACACTGGAACTCCTCCTGCCTGTCCTCAAGGACGTCCGTGCCAAGGGCACACTCACCCCCGACGGACGGAGGACAGACAGACTCAGCAACAAGACTAGCAGCGTAGTCTAGACGACAGCGAACAGCAAAGTCGACGAGCTCAGTAACTAGGGCAGACGCAGCAGTGGACTCAAAGGAAGGGTCAGTGACAACAGTAGCAAGGAGACGTGTGACAGTAGGACTGGCAGCACGAAGAGAGTCCGACTCCGGGTCAGGAAGAGCTGGAAGAGAGGACTCAGGAGGAGAAGGCAAAGGGGCACGCAGAGGAGCAGTGGACGGACGCAGAGACATCCGGTGCGTGCCAGGGACAGGAGGAGGACGCTGACGCGAACCACGACCACTAGTGCGAGCAGCACGGACAGGCGACGCAGGGCGGGACGCAGACTCACGATGCTCAGCAAGACCTCCAGTAGGACCAGTGTAGGGAGAGGGAGCGGGCAGTGGGGAGGCCGGCTGTAACTGGAACTGTGACGGGACAGGCTGTGGACACTCTAAGGGAGGAGGAGGACCAGTAGAAGGCGGGAGACCAAGAACCTGCTGAAGGAGCGGAACGAAGTACGGCCGAGGTCGCGCGGCGACTCCAGACACAGCAGGGACAGCACCAGTACCCCCAGCGGCAGCACCAGCGCCAGCAGCACCTCCAGCTCCAGGACCTCCAGCCGCACCAGTAGTACCCCCAGCAGGACCGCCTCCAGGACCGACAGCAGTAGCCTCAGCGTCAACACCCTCAGCAGCTCCAGCTCCAGTCGTACCCGCAGGCCCAGCAGCTCCAGTACTCCCAGTACGAGCACCTCCGGGACCCACGGCACCAGCACCCTCAGCAGCCGAAGAACCTCCAGCTCCAGCAGCACGCCTCCAGCGCCGGGCAAACCACTCGCGCAAATCCTGTGGAGAGAGTGGCTCCAGCCGAGACGAAACACCCGGAGAACCTCCAGGCTCAGCACCGCCAGACGCCACACGAGCAGGCCCAGCTCCCTCAGGCTCCGCACCCCCAGGCTCAGCACCCCCAGGCTCAGCACCCCCAGTAGTAGCACCCCCAGGCTCAGCACCCCCAGGCTCAGGACCCCCAGTAGTAGCACCCTCCGGCTCAGCACCCCCAGGCGTAGCACACACACGCTCAGCACCCCCAGAGTCAGCACCCCTAGGCTCAGCACCCTCAGCAGCACCAGAGTCACCAGTAACCTCGACAGGCTCGACTGCGTCTACCTGGGACACACCTGAAGGGGCAGGACCCTGAGGGGGGAGGGGGTCTACCGGGGGGGGACCTGGTACAAGGAAGAGCGGTGGCGGGGGGAGGGACGGAGTGCGGTAGGGGAAGAGGCGGTAGTAGGGGACCGACTCGTCAAACGTGACGTCCTGGGAGGACAGAACACGGCGAGAGGTGGGGTGGTAGAACTGCCACCCTGGCGCGTCAGGGGGGAAGCCAAGGAAGACGCAAGGAGCAGCACGAGGGGACAGCTTGTCCGCAGACAAGTCGCGGACAAACGCCCGAGATCCCCAGACACGGAACGCAGACGCATCGCCAACCTTCCCCGTCCACAGCAAGGCTGGGGAGGTCTCCGGCATGGAGACCCTGGGGTGAAGGTTGATCTGATGCGCCGCGTACCGAACAGCAAACGGCCACAGAAAATGGGGGGCAGCCGCATGCATCATGGACGTACGGGCGACGTCCATGACCATGCCAATGCGGCGCTCAGCAATCCCATTTTGCTGTGGAGAGTCCGGAAGCGTGAAGGTCTGGCGGATGCCTCGTGCACGACAGTAGGCTCACAGAAGGCCAGAGGAGAACTCTCCACCTCTGTCAGACTGCAGACGCAGAACAGGAAAGTCCGAGCCGAAGCTCTGCCTGAGCTGGAGACGAGCTGCGCGGATCCAGTCGATCAACACCTCAGTGACATCACCCTTGCTGCGCAAGGGGAAGACTGTGGTGTAACGCGAGTAGTCGTCAACCACCAGCAGGAAGTAGCGCTCGTGACCCTGTCCACGGACGCGGGCCGGGCCCCACACGTCCATGTGAAGCGTCTGCAGCGGGGCCTCTGTCGGAGGAAACTGGGAGGAGTGAGGGGCAGCCCGCTGCCGCCCCTCGACACAGGGGACGCAGGTAGGGCCAGGCCCCGGAGGAAGGGGAGGGAGGGACCGGGGAAGACCAGAGACAAGGACACGGGAGGCCATGCCTCGGAGACGAAGCAGGGAGGGGTGACCAAGGCGTTGGTGCCAGAGGAGAGTCTCGTGAGACAGGAGGCGACACGAACAGGGGGCAGACTCAGGACCAGACCTGGACGCTGCAGCAAACACCTGACCTGACGCAGCTACCTGACCAGACGCAGTGACCGGAGGAGACGCAGTGGTCAGTGTGTACAGGCTCGACCCCGGCCGACGTGTAAACGTGGCCAGGTGTCGGCCTGTCCGAGCGTCCGTGCAGTGGGTCACCCGCTGACTCGCAGGAGTGAACTGGTGAACCCCCGCATCCTGTAGGTCAGCACCACTCACCAAGTTCGTAGAGAACGAGGGGAGGTAAAGACCAGACAGGGTGCCAGAGGGGGCCGCCGGACACGGGAGGACAGTGGAGAAGTGAGCAAGGACAGGACCCCCAGAGGGGTCTGCCAGAGAGACTGCAACTGGCCGGCCAAGCGGCGTGAGTGTGGTGCGGTCTCGAAAGAAGGAGCGAGAAGCCCCCGAGTCAAGGGTGAAGGTGTGGGAGGCCGAAGCCGACGCAGAACCTGAGAGAGCAGACTCACCAGCACCTGAGGGAGCAGACGCACCTAGAGCAGCAGCCTCGCTAGCACCTAGAGCAGTAGCCTCACCAGTACCTAGAGCAGCAGTCTCAATGCCCGGGTCGGGCGGAAAACACCGGTAACAGTCACCCTCATCACTAATAGTCACAGTATACATGGCAGCAAGAATAGCATCAAAGTCAAGGTCAAAGACAGCGACACCCGCCCTAGACAGCTCACCCCAGCGGGGGATCTCAGTGGCCTCAGGGAACTGGTGACGCCAAGCGTCCGTCAGGCGGCCAAAGCAGCGCTGGGTGGAGTGCGCACCCCCGCACTGGTCACCCGCGCGGTCGCCGGTGCGGAGGACGTAGGTGCACGGACCAGTACCCCAACCCCTCTGGCGTGCAGTGTACCACTCACGGAGCTGCTGAGGGGAGGGGATGTCACGAGGGCGCTGCTGCTGCTGCTGCTGCTGCTGGCGCTGACCACCACCGGAGCCGACCCTCTGCGCAGCGCCACCCCGACCGGCTCCACCTCCTCCGCCGCCTCCTCCTCCACCGCCGCCACCTCCGCTCCCATTGCCACCGCCGCCTCCGCCTCCGCCTCCACTGCCGCCACCGACACCTCCACCCCCGCCACCACCCCCACCGCCACCCCCACCCCCTCCACCGCCTCCACCTCCGCCTCCACCGCCCCCGCTAGCTCCTCCAGTGCCCCTGCCCCCCTTGCCCTTGCCAGGGCGACGTCTCCCGCTAGGGGTAGACGCCGCACCGACCGACTCAAGCCCAACGAGGTCGGCCGCAGCAGCAGAGGCAACAGAGGGCAAAAGGGGGGAGGGGGAACACCCCTCAAAGATGGGGGTGCGAGGGTCACCACGAGAGGCTCCTACAGCGACTATGCTCTTCTCTGCTGCTAGGAGGGACTTCTGGAGGAGGTCAACGGTGAGAGTGGTGGGGCAAACTGAGAGGAAGTGGTCCCTGACTACGCGAAGGGAGTCAGGGAGCCGGGTGACTATGTAGTAGAGGGTGATGTACATGGGGGGGGGGTTCTTGGCGCAGAACTCAGCAGGAAGCGCAGCGCGGTAGCGAGTGTCACTAGTGCGGAGGTGCGTAATGAGGTCAGCGACTGTGGGAAAGGCAGCAAGGTCAGGGAAGAGGTACGGTAGCATGGGGCGGCTCAGTGCAGCAGTGGCAGGGGAGGAGTAGCGCGCAACTACAGCGTCGTACAAGGTCTGAGCACTCTTGTACTGGCTAAAGTGCGCACGCTCAGAGGTAGGCAGGTGGCGACGCACAGCAAGACGTGCAGCAGCATCGCGCGTGGCCCACTGTGAGCGAACAGTGGCGTCAGCATCAGCAGCGGGGGCAGGAGAGGCACCAGAAGTGAGGTCAAAGAGGGAGAGGCCGTCTGCCCTGTCGCACTGTAAGAAAAGCTGCAGGTCATCTATCCAGACATCAAAGTCAATGGCCCGACCCTCAGCGTCAAAAGCGAGGACACTAGGGGTAGCCAGTAGTAGACTAGCAGCGCAAACAGTAGGGTGAGGGCAGTGCTGTGAAAGGGGCGCTGCTCTTACCGGACAGGGCGGCTCGGGTGGCTCGGCTGCAGGGCGGCTCGGCTGCTCGGCTGCTGGGCAGCTCGGTGGCTCGGCTGCTGGGCGGCTCGGCTGCTGGGCGGTTCGGCGGCTGGGCGGCTCGGCTGCTGGGCGGCTCGGCGGCTCGGCGGCTCGGTCGTTCGGCTGCGACTGCTGCTGCAGAGACGGCGGCGGCTGCTGCCTCAGGGACGGCAGCGGCCGGCCGCTAGGGGCCGCGTCAGGTGCAGGAGAGGGCCGCGTCAGGGGCGGCGTAGGGGCCGCGGCAGGGGCGGCGAAGGGGCCGTGTCAGGGGCCGCGTCAGGGGCCGCGGCAGGGGCCGCGGCAGGGGCCGCGTCAGGGGCCGCGTCAAGGGCCGCGGCAGGGGCCGCGTCAGGGGCCGCGTCAGGGGCCGCGTCAGGGGCCGCGTCAGGGGCCGCGTCAGGGGCGGCGTAGGGGCCGCGTCAGGGGCCGCGTCAGGGGCCTCGTCAGGGGCCGCGGCAGGGGCCGCGTCAGGGGCCGCGTCAGGGGCCTCGTCAGGGGCCGCGGCAGGGGCCGCGTCAGGGGCGGCGTCAGGGGCGGCGTAGGGGCCGCGGTAGTGGCGGCGGAGGGGCCGCGTCAGGGGCCGCCTCAGGGGCAGCGTAGGGGCCGCGTCAGGGGCCGCGGCAGGGGCCGCGTCAGGGGCTGCGTAGGGGCCGCGTCAGGGGCCGCATTGGGGCCGCGTCAGGGGCCGCGTTGGGGCCGCGTCAGGGGCCGCGTAGGGGCCACGTCAGGGGCCGCGTTGGGGCCGCGTCAGAGGCCGCGTAGGGGCCGCGTCAGGGGCGACGTAGGGGCCGGGTAGGGGCCGCGTAGGGGCCGCGTAGGGGCCGCGGAGGGGTCCCGTAGGGGCCGCTAGGGGGGGGGCCGCTAAAAAAAAAATTAGGGCAGGGGCGCAATGCGCGTCGGGCAACTAAAAAAAATTTCGTTATGGTGGGCCCTTAGGAAGGAACGGTCCCATGTAGGAACCCGCTCTATACCATGTGAATTAAGAAAACAGGAATGAATGACTAAGGGAAAGTTGGGTACAAATACAAACCCTAGAAAAACTGTACCCCATATGTGCTACCCCACTATAGCCTACAGTAGCTCTGTCATATAAATCTGACACCTCTTCATGGGCGGGAACAGCAAGCGCATTGATCGGGCGCTGAAGGTGATTGGCTGCAAACGCGCGAACATGAACAAGCCGATCAAGCTCTGGGCGTGGGGTGCTGGTGGCGTCATTGACCAGGATAAGTGGTTCCTTTTGAAGGTTGGTGGCATCACTCCATCAAAGGCGCGCAACGAAAAGGAGTGGGTGGAGCAGTTCAAACACCGTGAGTGTGCTTGTCTTTTCTCGCATCCGCACCATGCTGGAATGTTCTTGTGCACAGATCTGATTGCCATTGTTTTTATCCCCGCAGCGAAGTATGGCTACGACTGGCATTGCTCTGCTCAGGGCCGCCCTTTCGCGAATGCAGCCTTTGAGCTGGCAGTCAAAAAGGCATTCGTCAGTGCCCGGTGCAACATGTTTGCAGTGAAGATTCCAGCGGTCGGCTATCTGTGCAACGTGGTAAGATGTCACTTGTGTTATTTGATCCAGTTTGTTTCCCCCTGCATATTGTTCTTAACTTAAGCGCCTTTCATTGGTGGCAGGTTGAATGGCCATTGGAGAACCACAAGGGCAAGAAGGGCCATGCATCTCTGGACAACAATGAGACCAACAACCGCAACAACGTCCATGCCAAGACGAGGGTGGTTGCTGCCTGGCTGAAGGAAACCCTTGAAAGGGAGCCTGCCACGTTCAAGATCGATGAGCCCATGGGGTTTGAGATGGGCATTGGGAAAGTTAGGATTTTGATAGAGGGATATGAGCTGTTTTTCTTCCCCTCAGGGGTCGTTCCAACCCCCTGGCCTCCTATTAACAACCTGTGAATACTTTCTAAATGTAGTAGGTTTTTTCTAATTGATGATTTTATGATTTAGAGTATTATGTAATCACTAATTCTGCAGAATTATATCAACCTTTTTATATCGTAGTCAATGCAGTTTTATAGCAATAATTTAAATATATTGAGATCTGTTGCATACAATCACGTCACTTTATTTTCCACACCTGTGACTATATCGAGTTGTTAATTTCCAGGAATACAACAAATTCCTCGATAACGAGCTGAAATATTTAGTTTAGCTGGTTACAATTGAAAATTAGTTGCTCAGGTAACCATATCGTAAACGCCAGCACATCTTCCCAATTGTTCGTCGCAACGGTGTGTACCACCAGTTCCTGCCCTAAACCGATGTTGTTCCTACAGTCCACGTGGCCAATCGAAGCTGACACCTCGAGCTGATTTCGACCGCAACCTGCAGAATCCGTTCGTTGTTGCTGCGTCAACCACCACACAACCGAACTTACCTTCGGACCGAAAAGTGGTTGTCAACCAGCGTTGACAGCACCACCTGTTTTGGGCAGATGACTGCCTCGTTAAAGCCGCGGTGCAGATATCTTAGGAACAGTGACAAACAGTTTTTTGTCTTGTTCCTTCCTGGTCGCCAATTGGCTAGCGAGAGAGTAGATTGTGTTGCGATGAAGAGAAAAAGGAAACAACTGATGCGAACGTCGCCAACCTCGAAAGTGAGGGGGAAGGGGAAGGGGTGGGGGGAGGGAAGGGGGGAACACACACGACAACGCGAAATTCGAAACCCATGAGTATGCCGTCATCTCTACATTGCATAACGAAAGAGTTTGTATTTAAAATAAGCTGAGTACCACACAAATATCATATTCTGCGACTCAAAGGCACATTTGAGGATTTCAGAACGATCAAAGTTTGGGGTGGTTGTTTCCCTTTTCTTTTTGGGTGCAACGAATGTACACATGGCAGGCAAACATGAGTGTCTTTAAATCCTACATGGCATCTCCAAGATGAGCCAGACTTCACACCCCTCTGATCCATTATTGATGCAGCTGTCCACCGATAGCAGGGGGGGAGGGGGGTAGGGAAGGACACCAGCCGAAGAAGTGAAAAATGTTTGATGGGGAAATTGAATGGAGGGTTGGCAGAAACAGTGGGGTGCGCGACGACACAAAGTGATGGGGTGGGTGAAGGGAAGTAGTTGGGTGGGTGAAGGGAAGTAGTTTGGTGGGTGAAGGGAAGCAGCGGGGTGGGTGAAGGGAAGCAGTGGAGTTGGGAGCGGTGGAGCAGAGGGTTGGATGTCGTCACGCCTGCCACCGTGGGGTCATAGTGGAAAGGGAAGGGTCGGATGAGGGGAATGGGGAGGGACAGGAGAGGGGGGAAAGGGATGGCCGGGAGAGGGGTGAATGGTGGGACTGAATAGGGGGAAAGGGAAGGGATGGGAGAAAGGGAAAGGAAGGGTTTAGGAATCGGGGGATGCCTTGAAAGGACAAGGGTAGGGTAAAGGGTGGATGGTGGGGGAAGGAGGGACGGACACCGATGGAAGGAGGGACGGGGACGGGGGGAAGGTTTGAATGGTAACGGGGGAAAGGAGGGACGGCGGGAGTGGGGGAGAGGAGGATTGGTTGTGGAGAGACAGTGAGAGCGAGCCGCTTGCTACCGTCGCGCCTTTGCTGCCTGCAGGGAAGGGCAAGACGCCAAGGGACCGACGGACAAGGGGAGTTCGGGAATTTGGAGGCGTGAAACTGAAGGTGTGGCATAGGAGGATGTGCCATGGGGGATGGTGGCAGGGGGGAATGCCCTGGAACAAACAAGGGGGAAAACGACGGATGGGAGTGCGAAAAAGTGAGGGTTGGGTGAGGGGACAAGGGGACGAATGGGTGCAGGGGGGAGCAGCGGGGGGGGGGGGCTGAATAGTGAATAGTGATTTGGGTCAATCTCTCACGCTTGAACTAGGACAGGAATGGGATAGGACAGGGGAAGGAGAAAGCGACAGGGGGAATGGGATAGGACAGGGGAGGGACAGGAGAGGAGGGAAAGGGATGGCCATCAGAAGAGTGAATGGTGGGATGGGATTGTGGGAACGGGAAGGGATGTGAGAGAGGAAAAGGAAGGGTTCAGGAAAGGGGGAAATGAGCAGGAAAAGCAGCGACGGTAGTGGGGGAAAAGGGACGAATGGGGGCAAGGGGACGGATGAGAGCAGGGCGAAGCAGTGGGTTGGGAGAGGGGAAAGGAGGGAGGGAGAAGAAGGGGAGGGAAGGATAGGGGGACAGGGAAGAAAGAACAGGGGGGAGGATTAAGCATCAGGAGGAACGAAAACGATGAAAGGGAGGGAAGGACTAAGGGGAAAGGGAGAGAATGACAGGGGGAAAGGGTGGGAAGGACATGGAGGAAAGGAGGAAGGACAGGGGGGAAGGGATAGAAGGAGTGGGGGAAAGGGAAAGAAGGACAGGGGCCTATAGCATGTCGCTGCACGCTCCCGCCTCGCCCGCCACTCGCTAACGCTCGCCACCGCTCGCCACTGTCGCGCCGCTGCTCGCTGTCACGTGCGCAACTAGCCGGACCATGTCGTCTCGTGACCGAGCTGTGCATCGACCTCAGGCGATGCTCGCCACAGTAGCACCTATTCCGACCATCGATCGCTGTTCTTCCCACCCTTTCCCCCTGTCCTTCTCACCCATTCCGGCCCTGTCGCCATCGTGCTTGCAGTTTCTTGCCGCCATTGCGTTTGCCACACACATCCCCTTGCCTTCGCCGCATCGCTACCAATCTCGCTCGCTAAAACCGCTTGCGAGGTTTGGACGCGTGATGCTTAGGGACCGTCGGAACAGATGCTTTGCCCCGCTGCTCGCTAACGACATCCCGCTGCTCGCTAACGTCGCCCTGCTGCACGCAGACGTCGCCCCGCTGCTCGCTACTGTCGCCATCGCAGCTCACTATCGTCATTGCGCTGTTGTCGCCATGCTGCTCGCTACCGTCGCCGCTATGCTCAGTATCGTCGCCCCGCTGGCTGCTGTCGCACCCAATCCTGCCTGCCACCACGTCGCTCCCAACTACTTCCCTTCACCACGTCGCTGCTTGCCACCGCCGATTCGTGAGAAATAGAGGGACGGGAGAGGGACTACAGAACGAATACCGCGGAGGAAATCGCGCGCAATGCGCTACGGGTACAGCCGCGGTGGTGTTTTTTGGGGTACGAAATAGCGCAGATATTCGAGCGCACACTAAGAGGCGAAGAAGAGCGATAGATCTGGGGCGAATGGCTCTCAAGAAGCCCTACGGGAAGGCACTTCAAGTTAGTAGTAACCTAGCCTAGTGCGAGAGATTGCTGAGTTTGAGTAGTTTTGAGTTGAAGTTTCAAGTTTCAAGTTTGATGCCTGGCCACCCCTTCATGCTGTGGTGCGGTGCTTTTCCGCAAGCCCTCCCCAGCTTCCCCCCCACTCATCATGCTGCGAGGCACTTTTCCGGACGACCTTCCCCCGCTCTCAGAAAGCTCTGCCAACCCGAGACTTCCAGTGTATACTGGGTAACGCGCCTTTCAAGCTATAATACTTTGAACTGGCGCAGCGAAATCTGCACCGCGGCTTTAACTAGGCAAGCGGAACACGACAGTCAACTCCCACGCTCCTTCACCTCCTCGACTGTTTACTGCCCCAAACTGGGCGGACATTTTTCTGATGTAGGAAGCTGTCGTTCAACGTGATTTTGCTCCTCCCCTGTTTCACTGGGCCATGCGGGTGAACCCAAGTCAAACCACATTTGACGAAGAGTGCCGAATATACATCCCTGCGGTAACCGGTCGTTCGCAAACGGTCGTTGTCTGACCAATTGCCTTGTTTGGAATGGACATCCTCTCGCGAATCATACCCTTGATTTTCGTGACTAAGCAAACGTTTTGGCAAGATGGCGAAACTCGTGACTACGTTGGTTCGTTGCGAAAAATATTTCACAAGGAGTGAGCTCTTTGGTTACGAACTAGAAGTAGTAACGATGAATTTCGCAGCTTCTCGTTTCAGCCAGCGCTCTGTGTTGCCACCTCGATCTGGCCAGTTTCAAGAAACAGGGTTTTGCAGGTCTGATACATCTACGGTGCTATCTTCCTCCTAGAGCCGCCTTCTGGAATTCGCCAGCACATCGTGACGCCATAGTAGATCGTTGTGGCAAGTTGATACGGAAACACGAGTACGGTAAAAGCGGCGTCATCCCTCGTTGCCTTTTGCACCTTCCTGTCCTCTCGTTACTTCTCTTTGTCATGGTTACGTCACCTCGCCCTCGCGCAGCACGCAGTAAAGTTCGACTGCCTTCAAAGCCGCGTGGAAACACGACCGCTTGAGACCCTAGAAGGTAGTCAGCGAGTCTGCTTTCCACTTCGGCTCCCAGTGAGCCTCTCAATTGTTTCCCTAGTATCGGCCTCCAGCATTGCTAGGCTCACAACCACGAAGCTTGGTCGTAGTTGTGTCAGAGCCCGTTGTGCATTGTCAAGTTACATTGAGTCACTCGAATTAAGCACATTGCAAAGAAAGTAGCAGATCCCCTCGACGCATTGCTTCCCCAGGACGAATGATTGCTGCGCCTGGACGCATGAATGCTGCCCCTGGACTCATGATTGCTTCCCCTGGACGCATGAATGCTGCCCCTGGACGCATGGTTGCTGCCCCTGGATGCATGATTGCTTCCTGCATTTGCCCCCACGGCCCCTTGTGTTTCTTTTCCTCGCCCTGGTTCATACACTCACGCTGTCAGTCACCCAACCTGTGACTGTCCTAGCATGTGATCGTGAATGACCTCGAACGTAACTGACCTGACCTCTCGCTGGCCAAAAAAATAGCCAACAGCTTCTGACTGACTGACCTACCAGCTTTGCCTGTGACCCAACCCAACTCAGCTTGTGACTGACCTGGTCTGACCTAGTAGCATGGACATGTGCACGAACATGAGCTCGAGACGAGTCAGGCTCAGCTCTAGTCGAGTCAAACGTCGACCCTTCCCGACTCGAGACTCGAATTTTTGGGTCGAGTCGGCCCTAATTCGAGTCAAATGTGAGTCGATATTTACTTGACCTGGATAAGTGATGCGAGTGACCTTTCAGTCGATAAGAAAACGTCAACCAGTGTGACGGACAGGCGTACGAGTGGCGGGGCCGCTCCCTCGTTTGCCATACGTACTATCTCCCCTGCCATCCACTCCTCTTCGCTTCTCGTCGGCTCAGTCCCGCTTGTCCCCATGCGTCCCTTCTCTTGCACCACTTTCAGAATCCCCAAGCCTCGCCATCAGCACCACACATTGCTGTTTGACTGACTCCGCGCCACCGCTGCTGATTCACGCCGTTCGCAAGCCGCGGAAACACGAGCCGCTGAATGAAGGTAAGCATTCTGACACCCTTGAGCATTGCTATTCTATTGTATTGTTTCCCTGATTTCGGCATGGCGCATTGTCAAGGCTCCCAGCGTGTAAACCATGGTTGACGCACTGCACGCCCAAACCCTTCACGTGCTGCTGTTTATCTCCTTGCCCAGGCTCACCGATCTAGCCTGTAACCAGCCTGCCTTTGACCTCCAACAAGCAATATAGTTTTTGTAACTACAACGTTGTCTGAACAGTAGGCGGTTCTGAGCCTCCAGGTCACCCGTCTCATGATCTGTACTTCACCTCTCCCCAACCGAGCCGAGCCAAAATGAACCGAACCGCATTATGCCTGTAATGGTTCAACAGCGGCGAGCCTGGTGTGACCTGGCCATTGCTCACGCAGACTAGTCATGAGCAAAGAAATGAACTTCAATTCGGCGGTTCAGTTCGTTTCGAACTAAGGAGTTTCTCAACCATGAGTGCCAAATTGTTCGGTTGTTTTCAACCATCAAATCGTGAAGTTCAGATATAGTAATGCCCAAGCCAGAAAGGCTCATGGGAAGCTGTCGGGTTCACCATGAGCCTTGCATCACACGACCCACCCTAGCTCAACCTCACCCAGGTGTAAGTCCACCAACGCAGTAGATTTCTCATTTTCTTCCGTGTCATATTCTTCAGCCTGGTCATTCTCTCCCGTGTCATATTCTTCAGCCTGGTCATTTTCTCCCGTGTCATATTCTTCAACCTGGTCATTTTCTTCCGTGCCATATTCTTCAACCTGGTCATTTTCTCCCGTGTCAAATTCTTCAACCTGGTCATTTTCTCCCGTGTCATATTCTTCAACCTGGTCATTTTCTCCCGTGTCATATTCTTCAACCTGGTCATTTTCTCCCGTGTCATATTCTTCAACCTGGTCATTTTCTCCCGTGTCATATTCTTCAACCTGGTCATTTTCTCCCGTGTCATATTCTTCAACCTGGTCATTTTCTCCCGTGTCATATTCTTCAACCTGGTCATTTTCTCCCGTGTCATATTCTTCAACCTGGTCATTTTCTCCCGTGTCTGTGTTCTCTAGTTCCTCTCGCTGGTTGGTTGTGGTTGTGGTGTCATTTCACTGGTTCTAAAAGTCGCCGCTTCTCTCTGCTTAGTATTCTTATCCTCCATGCAAGTCGCAGTGAACCCCTTTAACATCACCACCCCACCCTATGCTATGCACTCTGCGGCTCTATGCCCTTCATCCTGTGCATCCGTTTCTGCCTTGCTGCACCCATTTGCAGTGTCACCGTGCGTGTCGTTCACAGGTCTTGTTTTATCTGCTTCTCACGGACTCCCCATGCCAAACTGACTTCATGCCAGATGCACAAGCTTTTTTTGACCCAGACATGTGCTCAGCCCATTCTCCCTCATTGCCCCTCTTCTGCTGCTCTTTCTATGCCTTCTTACTCACATCACTCTCATCCCTCACGCCCGTGTAATTGGTCTTGTTCGTGTGTCCACTCACCTCGTGCATTCTCCATCTTTCTTTTACGTTTCTGTTTTCTTGAAAGACTCACAACCCTGCCCTTCCCAGGCGTGTCTGCTTTCACCAGCCTGCAGTGTAAAAGACAGTTGAACGCAGGGGTCGGTCATTGAGCAACCGTTGATTGAGGGGAGTCAATGGATGAAATGGCTGTTGAGAGAGCGGTGGGGCCACTGATAGACGAGGTCAAGGAGGCGGTGCTGGCAGCAGTGAGAGAGGAGCTGACTGAACGCGAAAGGGTGGTGAATGAGTTGCGGCACATGTTGATGGCTGTGGGACAGAAGGATCAGGCGACTGCTGCTGTGGTGAAGGAGATGGAGGGAGAGTTGGCTGCAGTGAAGGGGGAGTTGGCTGCAGTGAAGGGGGAGTTGGCTGCAGTGAAGGGGGAGTTGGCTGCAGTGAAGGGGGAGTTGGGTGAGCACAAGCAGTCGACTACATTGCAGCTGGAGGAGGCTGAGAGGAGACGAGTGGCTGAGATGAGGGAGATGAGAGGGCAGGTGGAGGAGAGGGAGAGAGAGCTGGCAGCAGTGAAGGGGGAGGTGACAACAGTGAAGGTGAAGGTGACTGCAGTGAAGTTTGAGGTGGAAAATCTGAAGTCTGAGGTGAATACAATGAATGGGGAGGTGACGGCAGTGAAGGGGGAGGTGACTGCAGTGAAGGGGGAGGTGACTGCAGTGAAGGGAGAGGTGAGTGCAGTGAAGGGGGAAGTGAGTGCAGTGAAGGGGGAAGTGAGTGCAATTAAGGGGGAAGTGACTGCAGTGAAGGGAGAGGTGAGTGCAGTGAAGGGGGAAGTGACTGCAGTGAAGGGGGAAGTGACTGCAATGAAGGGAGAGGTGACTGCAGTGAAGGGGGGAGTGACTTTAGTGACGGGGGAAGTGACTGCAGTGAAGGGGGAGGTGGCTGCACTAAAGTGGGACCTGACTGCTGCAAATGGGGAGATAACTGCAGTGAAGGGAGAGGTGATTCCATTGAAGGGGGAATTGGCAGCTGTGAAGGGGGAGGTGAGAGCAGTGAAAGTGGAGGCTGCTGAACACAAGCAGGCAATTAAGTTGCAGTTGGAGGAGGCTGAGAGGAGACAAGTGGCGGAGATGAGAGGGCAGGGTGAGGAGAGGGATAGGGATGTGAATGCAGGGAAAGCGGAGCTGGATGCAGTGAAGAAGGATGCTCTCATGAACATGAATGTTGACTTGATAATGTGCGAGGAGTTAGTCCAACAGAATGTGCGAGTCCTGATGCTGGAGAGGGGGAATGTTGCCTTGGAGAATGAGGTGAGTGCGTTGAAGCGCACACTGGGTGTTTTGGGAGAGAGGAGTGTAGCGACTGCCGCTGTGTTGGAGGAGAGGGGGAGAGTTTTGGCAGCAATGAGAGGGGAGCTTATTGGAGTGAAGAGGGAGTTGGCTGCAGTGAAGGGGAAGGTGGATGAACACAAGGGCGCGATGACAGAGCAATGGGATATGGTCGACAAAAGAAGGGAAGCGGAATTGAGAGAGCTGGGAGAGGATTTGGCAAGGGGGAGGGAGGAGAGGAGGAAGGAGTTGCAGGAGTTGAATGGGCGTGCCATGGGGCCACTGATTGAAGTTTTGAAAGAGGCGGTGCTGCCAGCAGTGAGAGGAGAGCTGGCCGCACACAAGGAGGAGGTGAATGAGTTGCGGCAGATGTTGATTTTTGTGGAGGAGAGGAATGAGGCGACTGCTGCTGTGGTGAAGGCGAGAGAGGGAGAGCTGGCTGAGCACAAGCAGTCAACAGCATTGCTGCTGGAGGATATGCGAATGATGAGACAGGAGCTCGTTGCAACACTGGCTGCGGTGAAGGGGGAGGTGGGGGAGGTGAAGTGGGAGGTGGGGGAGGTGAAGGGGGAGGTGGGGGAGGTGAAGGCGGAGGTGGGGGAGGTGAAGGGGGAGGTGGGGGAGGTGAAGGGGGAGGTGGGGGAGGTGAAGGGGGAGGTGGGGGAGGTGAAGGCGGAGGTGGGGGAGGTGAAGGGGGAGGTGGGGGAGGTGAAGGGGGAGGTGGGAGAGGTGAAGGGGGAGGTGGGGGAGGTGAAGGCGGAGGTGGGGGTGGTGAAGGCGGAGGTGGGGGAGGTGAAGGGGGAGGTGGGGGAGGTGAAGGGGGAGGTGGGGGAGGTGAAGTGGGAGGTGGGGGAGGTGAAGGGGGAGGTGGGGGAGGTGAAGGGGGAGGTGGGGGAGGTGAAGCGGGAGGTGGGGGAGGTGAAGGGGGAGGTGGGGGAGGTGAAGGGGGAGGTGGGGGAGGTGAAGGGGGAGGTGGGGGAGGTGAAGGGGGAGGTGGGGGAGGTGAAGGCGGAGGTGGGGGAGGTGAAGGGGGAGGTGGGGGAGGTGAAGGCGGAGGTGGGGGAGGTGAAGGGGGAGGTGGGGGAGGTGAAGGGGGAGGTGAGTGAGGTGAAGGGGGAGGTGGGGAAGGTGAAGGGGGAGGTGAGTGAGGTGAAGGGGGAGGGGGAGGTGGGTGATGTGGAGGGGGAGGTACGAGGGGTGAAGCGGGATCTGGCTGCACTGAAGGGGAAGATGGTTGAGGTGAAGGGGGAGGTGGGTGAAGTACAGGGGGAGGTGGGTGAAGTACAGGGGGAGGTGGGTGAAGTACAGGGGGAGGTGGGTGAAGTACAGGGGGAGGTTGGTGAGCACAAGCAGTTCTTTTCATTGCAGTCAGAAGAGGGCGAGAGCAGTCGAATGGCTGAGATGAGGGAGATGAGAAGGCAGGTGGAGGAAAGGGAGAGGGAGTTGGCTGCAGTGAAGGGGGAGTTCGCTGAGCAGAAGGATGCTCGCATGAAGATGGATATTGACCTGCAAATTAGTCAGAGTGAAGGCGATCAGACGGCATGGCAGGTGAGTGCCAAGGGAAATGTTTCATTGGGCATGCATCGCTTGATAGTTCTTTTTAGGCACTGCAATCATCCCTTTCCTTGCCACCTTTACCCTCTTCACCCGTTTTCACCAGGCAATCAAGTCAGCATCACAAAAGACCCACTTGGACCTGAAGAATCTCAAAGGCCTCTCAGACGCCATGCTCGCCCATGTGTCCACCATGACCCATCTGACGAGTATTAACTTAGCGTGTAGCTCAGGCTTCAGTGCGGAGGGCATCAAGCACCTCTACAGGCTGCCGCTGCTGAAAACGCTAAACCTCAGCAACACAGACGTGACAGACAGTGCCTTGGAAGGCATCGGGTCCTTGGGTCTCAAGGAGCTCTATCTCCATGATACTAAGCTGAACGATGCTGGTCTGGCGCACTTGACACCCCTTTCCTCTCTCAAATCCTTGGGGTTTGGTGGATGCACAGGTGTGACAAATGCTGGTATGGTGCATGTAGCGAGGCTGACAGGGCTAGAGAGCCTTGGTCTGGGCAAGACGGTAGTCTCGAAGGATGGGCTGAAGCATCTGTCTGCCTTGAGCAAGCTGACAGCTCTCTGGCCCCCTGAAGGGGGTTGCCTTCGCAAGGATAGATTGCGCAGGTGGATAGGCAGGCTGGGTGGCACGGAGTGATGATGAAAGGGAGGTGAGGTGAAAGAAGGGTTGATTGTGACTGTCTAGGGGAGAGCGAGGAGAGGCATGGAGGTAAGGGGTGTGACAAATGGAGTTATGCATGTGGAGGAGTGAGGCATGGCATGGTGGTTGGTTCAACTTTCTTCTTGCAGAGTTGGAATTTGATCATCTGCCGGGCAGAAGCAGGTGCTGGGCTGGTTGTGCAAGAGGTGTATATGGCAGGCTCCTTCATCCATGCGTTGGGTGTAAGCTGTACAGATCCTTGTCATTGAGGAGAGTAGTGAAAAATAAGAATTTGAGTGCATGGTGTGTATGAATAAATTGCTGGAAGAAATTGCTTTGAAAACTTGGGAGACAAATGACCAAGATATGCATCATTGACTGTGTTCTATTGACATCTTGGTGGATTTATCATGTTCTCCATGAGCTTCAATAATATTCAACAAGCCAAAACGCGTTGTCACTCAAAGAGAATATGTATATTTTTAAAAGCTGCAACGCTTTTCAAAATTATGTATTTTGAAAGCGAAGCTGCTTGTAATGTAGGAATGGGCAGCGTCGAACCGCGCTAATCGCTCGTTTTGGAGTACAAAACGTGGGCTGGAGGTCATTTCCCTCCACCCACGTCTCTCATTTTCAAACGGTTTAGCCAATTTTCTGTTCTCAAATTTCCGTTCTCAATCTTCCCGGTCTCAATTTTCGCCTCCCGCACCCAAGCTGGCGAAGTTGAAGTCCCTTTCCGCTTTCAATCCCCGTCAACCTTACTCTCAGATATTGTCGCGCACAACGCAGCAAATATGGCACTTAACGGCGGAGAGGCTAACACCACTACCGCCCCTGCTCGACCCGAGTCTGGAAGAAACGCACGCGAAATAGCGGGCGATCTTTCGAACAAGCGCCGGGCAGACGACGAGCAAGTTTCCCCGACCGGCGTTGACGTTCTGCTGGGCGGGACCGAGGCACACGCCGCTGGCGTCGAGGCACACGCCCCTGGTGTGCCTCGAGCCCCTGTGGCCCCTGACGCGCCGGCCACGACGGAAAGCGCCAAGACGGCGCCAACCAGCACGGCTGGCACCCCGCGGCCGCGTTAGCGTCGCAGGCCTTAGGGCCCTGGCGCGCCTGTGGGCCCTGACGCGCCTGTGGGGCCTCACGCGCAAGTGGCGACTGGCGCGCAAGTGGCGCCGAATTTCACTGCAGCCCAACTGCAACAGCTGCTGACCCTGTTACAGCAGCAGGCCCCTGCTGTTACTGAAGAAATCGCTACACCGAACGCAACTTCTGTTTCTGCTAAAACCGAAAAGGCGAAAACGGAGTCCGTGAAGCGCGCTCGCACTACAAAAATCGGAAGGGGCGAAGACACACGCGCCGCCGCCGCCCCAGTCATAAACAACCCCACCGACAGCGACAACGAAGACGACGACGATGGTGAGGCACATGCTCAAAATGCCGCTTTTGCACCCGTTGAACAACTCCCTCCACTCCCTTCTCCCAATCCCACGCTCACCGCCGCCTCGTTCAAGAACGCCGCCGTGCGCGAGCAAGCCGAGGTCCTGGAACACCTGCGGGCATACCTGAAGCATGCAGAGCACAAGGTGCGACACAACGAGCCGGCAAGCGCCCTCGAATACCTTGGCGAAGCGTTCACGCTCATCGAGAGCCGCTTCAAGTTACTCCACCAATTTCCGCACCGCCAACCGGTTCAAGCTCTATGAAGACAAGAGCGTCTTCACTTCACGCCCGTTCAAGCAGGCCGTCGCGGACGTCGCGGCCATGGAGCGCGCCCAAGGCAACTTCAATCGCACTCCACGTGGCGGAGGGCGTGGGCCCATGGCCTTCGGCAGTAAGCGTGGCCCGCCACTCGACGGCAACGGAAGGAGCTTTCATGGCTCATGCTTCCGTTGTGGGCAGCCTGGCCACATGGCAAATGCTTGCCCCGACAATGGGGGCGGAGCCCAAGGACCCGCATCGGTGGTGTGAATTCCCGAGAGGGCAATCACCCTGTGGCGAGGGGCTTGAATAAGGGCATTTTGATGGCACTAGGGAGTGCAAAGGCCGCTGGCCTATCCCATAGGGGATGCTAGGACGGCCGCGGGCCGACCCCAAGGCAAGGGGTGTAGGACTAGGAGTCCTCGGTGAGCATAACATTGGAAATAATGCTTGTATGCTTTTATGGAAATAGTGGAAAGGCCTAACGGGCTAAGTTTGTGGACCTCAAAAAAAAAAAAAAAAAAAGGTTGGGAGCATGGCTCTTAATGCATGCAAGACCGGAAAAGAAGGGGCAGCCGCATGGCATGGAGGCCTATGCGAAAAAAGAAAAAGAAAAAGAAAAGAAAAGAAAAAAAACGAGAAAGAGAGAGAGAGAGAAGAAGAAGAAGAAGAAGAAGAAGAGGAGCAAGCGGCACGATGGTCGGATAATGCGAGCCCATGAGAAGGCCAAGGAATCATTTGTAAAGGACAAGGAAAAGCGAAGATGCGGGACTCGGAGTCCCATGATGCCAAAAGCCCGCGCTAAGAAGTATGGCCTAGCACGACAAGAATGATCATGCGTTATGTGAAAAAAAAAAAAAAAAAAAAAAAAAAGGGAGGGGGGCAATACGAGCCAAAGCGGGCAAACAAAGGGGCTGCCGGAACCGCCCCTCTGGTTGGGCACGGATCTCCCGAATGCAGTTCCAAACAAGCAAAGGCCTTGCGAAAAGAGAGAGAGAAAGAGAGAGAGAGAGAGCGAGAGAAAGAAAGCGGGAGAGAGCGAGAAATGGAAGGGAACCTAGCATGCACACTCGCGGGCACGGGATCGCATGTATCCTTCGCATAACTACGTGCCGAATGCCCCTGTTTAACAAAGCATGTCCCATGTCGCCCCAAACCCCATGGTCCATGGCTACAGATATGCCGGGTGGCGGAACGATCGCGGGGTACGGCCCCTATGAGTTCGCGATTACCGACAAGTTCGTCACGACCATGCGTGGTCGCCTGCGCACGGCATTCCCGTGGTGGAGCACATGGTGTGAGAGCAGTTTCATCCTCTCGGTGATCTCAAATGGCTATTGGATGCCATGGAAGCACGGACCACCCGAGCCGTTCAAGCAAGACAACCATGCAGGAGCGTTAATCCACTCCAAGTTCACCAAGCAAGCAATAACCGAGCTTCTTGAGAGCGGTGCAGCCACTCCCGCCCCCGCAGAACAACAACTATGTATTAGTCCACTGAATGTAGTCGTACAACGGGAAAAATGCCGATTGATTCTTGACCTCCGACATGTAAACCAGAATTTGTGCATCCCCAAGTTCAAGTACGAAGGACTAAGCCGGGTGGCAGAGCTCGTTCACACAGGCGACTCGATGTTCGCGGTCAACCTTAAATCAGGATACCACCACGTCGACATCCACCCCTCCTGCTGGAAGTTCCTCGGATTCCAATTCGACGGGCTCTCATACGTTTTTCGGTCTTTAGCGTTCGGTCTCGCGACAGCCCCGTTCGTTTTTACACAGCTCATCAAGCAGCTCGCCCGTCGTTGGCGGGGCCTTGGGGTGCGAGTCATCCCCTACGTCGACGATATCCTCTTCCTATGTCACACGGAAGTAGAAGCTCGAACCATGGGTCAGATGGTCGTGCAAGACCTCAGCAAGGCTGGACTAGTAATCAATTCTAAGAAATCGCATCTCCAACCCACCCAGCAGCTGCGGTTTCTGGGAGTCGAGCTGGATACAAAAAGCGGTCGGTTTTCTATTGGTCCGGAGAGGCGGGCGTTGCTACGCTCAACCATTCACGAATTACGCATGGCTGGCATGGCCAAACGCAGAGTCCCGATTCGCCACGTGGCCAGAGTTACCGGCATGCTCGCATCTATGTCACTCGCCATCGGCGCAACAGCGCGCGCATTTAGCCAAAACCTACTACAGACCATTCAGGATGCCCCTTCCTGGAACAGCAAAGTGCAGTTGGTCCCCGGAGCAATCGAAGAGCTCGAGTTTTGGCTGCAAGAATTGGACAAATTCAATGGCGCCTCGTTTCACGTACCGAACAGCTACAACGCAGTGGTCCACGTGGACGCCAGCGCACACAGTTGGGGAGCGACACTTGACACGTTTTCGGAAAAGCGAATCGAGGCCACCACGACCATGCCCGGGCACCTCACAAAATCCTCCAGTACGCAACGGGAAATGGATGGAGTCTTGTGGGCGCTGCAAACATTCTCGAAAAGGATTCAAAACCGACACGTTCTTGCCCGGACCGACAACCAAGGCGTCTTCTTTATTCTTCGCAAAGGCGGTTCTCGAACTCCCAGCCTCACAACGACGTGCAGAGCCATTATTCAAGCGTGCGTGGCCTTTGGGGTCCGACTGACGATCGAATGGATTCCGCGCGAACTCAACACGCGAGCGGACGAACTCTCCAAGACGATCGATCGGGATGACTACGCAATCAAAGCACCATGGTTCCGGCTCATTGAGCGGCGCTTGGGGCCGCACTCTATCGACTTATTTGCCAACGCGAACAACACCCAGTTGGCCCGCTTCTGCTCCAAAACTCCCCACCCAGACGCAAAGGCAATTGATGCCTTCTCCATCCCTTGGGCCTTGAGCACGGATACGCCTTTCCGCCACCCCACCTCATCCCAGCGGTGTTGCACCACGCCCAACGGACGAGAGCATCGCTCACGCTCGTCGTGCCATATTGGCCAGGGGCAAGCTGGTGGCCGTTACTACAACCCGCCCCGCCCCAATGGGCCTCTTGCGTTCTCGCTCACATCCCCCTCACCCATCGGATTCAGTGCTTAACCGCAGGCACCCATACTCGTGCTT